GGGGGGGGGCGCCACCACCGTGATCCCCCCACCCCTTTTCCCTTAGGCAGGGAGGCATGGGGAAACCCGCTGCTTGGGCAGCTGGGGTGTGTTCACCATCACCACAAACTTCCCTAGCAGTGACTCAAACTTGGCCCTGCACAGCCCAAACGACGCCGCCTGCCCTCTTGGCAGCACATGCACAGTTGCCCCAAAGTGTTATGGACAGACAGACAGACGAAGCCTTTTATTATATTAGAATTACCCTGTCAATTGTATTACACTGTTACTAAAGCACCAAGTTCTCATTGTGTCAGGTCTACTTGCAAAAAAAAATAAATGTTTTGTTTTGTTTTTTAAACCCTATCTCTTTCAGCGGTTTTAGACCTTTGTTTCTTTCTGGTACATTTTTGAGTTTATTTCGGGCAAAGAGGGTGAAAAATAAATGGTAATGCCTTTTTGCAAACAGAATGAACATTCCAAGGAAAGGAACCAATAAGATTAGATGGATTGTATTTGCTAATTAAGGCAAAGTAATCTGCATATTCACTTACTTTGTTAAAAGATAACTGCACAGTACTGTGATTTTACGAATTAGACATTCACACTGTATCAGGGAATTATATATTTGATAGCTAACAAACCTTTAGGAAAATATTAGAATTATATAACAAAAATTATGTAGTTATATGGAAGTAAATCTGCAGCATTTTTGCTCTCTAACTTGGTAAACCAATTTTATTTCATATAATTGGTATTAATTTCTCATATAACCATATTTGTCTAAGAACTTACCCATTAAGCATGAAGACTAACAATTTTATATTTCTTATCTCTTCAGGTAATTTAAAGCTAACAGTTATTCATCTTTATATTCCATCTTTATTCTATATTGAAGCTCTGTGCTATTTCTCTATGTAACTAGTTTATATAATGACCAGCTGACTCTGTGGCATTTGAAATATTTATTTAATCATATTTTTATAAGAATTTTCTTTTAAATATATTGGAAGTTTTGGATTGCAGAAATTCTGAACTTTAAATTAAATTAAGTATATATGGTATTATATATTGCATCAGAAAGTGTAATTAATATAGAAATATTATTTTGAAGCTGGCTTACAGTTGTAGCTTTATTACATCAATAACTAATGTAGTTGTTTGAAAAATATAGTAGTGAGTTCTGTCTGACTGTAGAAATTAGAAGTATTTTGTGACTGTCCAAACTGGATTGTCTCAGTCAAACATTGTTGCTAAAATAAATATACGCTAATGTGAACTAAATTATATATCTTAGGTTTATTCTAGTGATACTTCCAGCACAAATTATTATGTCTGTCTGTTTCATTAATCAGTGAATGCTCTCTAACTTCTCTGATACAAATTGTAATCAGCATACATTCAAAACTGATGAGATTTTTGTGTTGCATTCTGATTGTTCCCAAGCAATTAGCTGACTTTCTGGCAGCTTTCAGTCAAACAGAAGACATCTCAGCTAAGCAAAATCATTTTATTTATACTGTAAACCATTGATTAGAACAAATTAGTCAACAGTTTAACAATCATTTGTTCTTTGGGCACTTGTCTGCATACATATTTACTGTTAGTGCGAGTCCATCCCATGCACTTAAGGCAGACAGTTCGTCCTTGAGTCAGCTTCATGTCTCCAACTGCGGATGTGAAGGGCAAGCCGTTCTAACTGCTTGTTCATAAAGCTCCCATTTATACCTCCTTTATGTATGTATGCATGTATTTACTTACTTATTCAATTTGTATCCTTTCCTCCCCGAAACAGTATGTCTTACTGACTTCTCTTACTTCTATACCTAAGTAGTAATCTTTTTCTT